GATTTAGGGGCTGAGGAGGATTTGGGGGCGTGAGATGTGGGAAGAGGGTGGGGGAGGAGGGTTGAGGGCGTGAGTTGGTGGGGAGGTTTTGAGAGCGTGATGTGGGGGGAGGGTTGAGAGCGTGAGGTAGGGGGAAGAGCATTGAGGGTGAGAGTGAGAGGTAGTAGGGGGAGGGTTGGGGGGCGTGAGGCAGAGGAAGGAGGGTTTGGGGGCATGAGGTGTAGGGGTAGGAGGGTTGAGGGTGTGAGGTGGACAGAGGAGAGTTGATGGCGTGCAGTGCGCGGGGGAGGGTTTGGGGGCGTGAGGTCGGGGGAGGAGGGTTGAGGACGTGAGGTAGACAGAGTTGAGGGCCCCAGGTGCGGGGAGGAGGATTTGGGAACAGGAGGTGGAAAGAAGTCCTAGTAGCCTCCCTCCCTCACACTCCCGAGGTGCGTGCTGCTCTCCACTTGGCCGGACTTTGGGTGTCCGCCATGGCTTCCTGTGTGCAGAGTTGGCCTTTGCCGCTGCAAGGGCTTTGCAGGTGACAACTACCATCTCGGTGAAACTTATGGTGAGAATTATGCTCACATAATTTCAAATGGGATCAGAGAATATTTTATAGCTCCCCTTAAAATTGCAAATAGGAGCAGGTAATATTTTATAGCATGACAGTTCATTGAAAAGGGGAAGTTTTTAAAACAGCATTTTCCATGTGAGTGGGGAATGTGTCTATGAGAGCGTAACAAAGTTGGAGAGTTGTGCTCTCTCTTCGAAGTTGTTGGACGTTGCCAAGTGCACTGTTTTCTTTGCTCGCTTTGTTACAGAGCTAACCTTGTTTGTGAAGGGACTCCTCTTTCTGTCAAAACTAAAAATAGTACAGGGAGCTGATAGTTTAACACCTCAGGTAAGCAAGTGCCATTCATTGCCTTATGAAGGTTTCCAGTGAATTAATGTGATGCCCTAGAAAGAAGGCATCCAGAAATTAGTTTCACTATGATTTATTTTTGAGTAGTGGGTTTTTGGGTTTTTTTTCTTAATTCTAACTTTGGCCATTGTTACAAACATATTGACATAGTCTAGTTGTATCCCTAAGAGGGGAAATTTGTAATACTTTTTAGCCCAAGTGTTTTTTGCCAGTTTGAATTTTGAATTCATGTCTAGTTTATTTTGATCCCTTAAATTATCTAGGTTTGCAATTTGGAGAGCATTTTTTTTAAAAGGTTTTAAAATCACAGTTTATTGCACATATTTTTCAAACAATATCTGTGGGGGGTGTTTTGTGTGTGTTTGTTCGTTTGTTTGTTTGAGACAGGGTCTCACTCTGTTGCCCAGGCTAGAGTGCAGGGGCTCACGCAGCCTCCCAGGCTCATCCTTCTGCCTCAGCCTCACAAGTAGCTGGGACCACAGGAGGGAGCCACCACACCCTGCTAATTTTTTTTGTAGAGACAAGTTTTCGCCATGTTACCCAGACTGGTCTCAAACTCTTGAGCTTAAGTGATCTGCCTGCCTCAGCCTCCCAAAATGCTGGGATTACAGGCATGTACCACTGTGCCTAGCCAATGTTGTTGTTTAAATAAATGATTGACTTAAATATGTTAGTACTGATTTAAAGCAAAATAACATTAATAATTAAAAAGATAATGAACAGTGGGAAATGAAATGATTAATATAGAAAAATAAAATAATAACTTTTTTTCTGAAGATTATTTATTAAGGCATACAGGAACTCAGGCAAATTTGTTGTGCCATTTTAGTTAACTTGTTTAGGAGCTGTTGGGATATGGACAGTGTTATTTTAACAAGTTTAAATTTTTGTATTATTGTGATTCTCTCTTTGGAAAGCCAGAGGCCAGGCATGATGGCTCACACTTATAATCCCAGCACTTTGGGAGGCTGAGGTGGGTGGATCACCTGAGGTCCATAGTT